AACCTAATCTACCGAGGGTGGTCTGCTGTCCAAGTGCTAACTAGGCCCAGCTCAGCCTTGCTGTGCTTAGCTTGTTATCCAGTACAGTGAAGGGAGGTATGGAAGCTAGTGTTAGAAATTAAAATCAATGTTAAACAGCATAATTCAGTCTAAAACATATCGTCAGTTTAAAAGCTGTTTTATTGTGGAAAGCCCGGAAGTTCTCCGGTTAGCTTGTGACTAATGTTGCGTTTTCTGAATGTAAAGTGAAAATGACTTGGAGTGTTACACACCAAATCGTACGGACTTTAACACTACATCAATAGACGTTTAAGATATTATTACTGCTGAATATTAAATGGTCTAGTTGATCGTAGTGTTTACAGATACGTGAGAAGCTATGACGTCAGAGGGAATTTCCGTAAAATAAGAACTGCCGGAGCGGAACCACTAGGACTTCTAAACTAAGTATTACAGCTGTTTATAAGGTATTAAATAGAAAGTCATGACAGAGATAAGGAGGAGAAAAATGCTTAAGGAAGTAGGCAGAGAATATCAATGTCGAAATCATCTGTGCTCTCGCGATATCGAACCGGCAAATGAGTAGGGGGCCACCCACTATTTGCACAGCGGGAGACGACGAGACATGGATAAAAACAGCGGACAGAGGACCGCTCGCTCTTTTCTTCGCTGCAGCCTCCCTGAAGACAACGCCGGCTTTGTCTCTCCCTTACCCAATGCTTATTCTTTTACCACGTTACTTAATTAAACTACCCATTTGAACCTTTTCAGAGACTCCATTAGTCTCGTTATTTTAAGTTTCTTTCCTGGGAACGAGAAGATCACGAATTATCAACAACTTGGTGGCCCGACATGTGATATCGACACTGGGAGAGAAATCGCTAGTTTCGACGGAGATTTTGCGAACCAAAAGACACACAAAGGGCCCATATGCAAACGGTAAGAAGAAGCCAGTTATATCAAATTCTTCAATAGCTTATATAGAACCATTTAGATTTGTGTGTTTTGTGGCGAGCAGGACATCCTGAGAACAGCTGTTAATTTAATGTTAAATAACTAAATTTAAACCAAACCACGTGGCGTTGTTTTAGAGCAAGCAAAGGGTAAGTCTCTATTCCTTTCTTTGATTCATTAACCAACTGCATGTTTTTAATATTAATCTTTTAAAGTCGGTTCAGCCGATACAAGTCGTTAGGGACGATAAATATTGTGTAGGACAATATTAAAAGACACGGAGGGTGTGAAAGTCGTTAGGGACGACAAAACTAGTAAGGAAGGCTAGTAGGTGTTATACTGTTGTGTTTTCAACCAAGATATTGCAGAGTGGATTACGGTAATAGGAGTTACAGCAGCATTACGTTATATATGAAGACGGTCTGTTCTTGGTAGCTGATAGGTCTCCATATTGGTCCCACACTAGCGTATTTAAACATCAGATAATCACCAGACCATAAGGTCAAATATTACGTGGATAGGTTTAAGGCTTATGACGTAAGGGATCCTCATTTTAAGATAGGATATCTCTAGGATAAAGCCCATATTCATTGAAATGTTATTTTGAATATAAAGTATAGTTTTTGTGTTGCATTTTTCAACTTTGTCATACCACACCAGGGTTTCCATTTGTCCATTTAAAGATCACCAAGCCATTATTTGAACGTATCAGTGAGAACCACATGGGATAATTTCAACATCTCTTTGTTCTGGGGGTCAGAGTTCGAAATAATCAGTAGCCATCTTGTTTTGACTGTATTTCACACAAGGCAGTCGCCATTTCAAGAAATGCTAATTCGACAGACTCCTTTGTTCTTTGTAATCCATGTGGTTTCACTCACATGAGGCCAAGTCCTTTTTCTGACCTCCATCTTGTGAAGAACAAACCATTCTTTTTGACCCAGTTGGATTTAGGAAATAGTACATTTTGATAAATCAGGTTATCTATAGATATTGGAGTTGGTGTTTGGTGTTTCTAAACAATTCTCGGAGATTGCAACCAGCACTATCTGATCTTAAAAATTGTGATTGCATTGTGATTGTATTTGGCTGGTTTATTCCATACTGTTCAAATCGTGTTTGCAAATGTGATGGCTGGATTATGTGTTATTGTTTAAATCCTTAAGCATTGTGATTGTATTTGGCTGGTTTATTCCATACTGTTTAAATCGTGTTTGCAAATGTGATGGCTGATGCTTTTACTGTTTAATCATAAAGTGAATTTCCTTCCCATATCAAAGGTAGTTATTAAGAAAATAAGCTTCTTGTTAAAAAGAAGTCCGTTTTAAGGAGGGCTAAAAAGGGTGGATAAAACTGAAAAATTACAAACAGCGCACTCTGCTGGTTGTACAGAATTGTTGCACCAAAGGGGTAAAAAAGAAACACGTATAGAAATATCACCAATTATAATAATATGCTAAAGTTTACTTTCAAGTGTTATAAATGAACGAGTACTTCATCACACATAGATAGAATCACAGGTGGTTTTTTCAACCTAGACTGTAGAATATCTAAAACACCACATAATTGAAGTGAACACAGTTTATGATATTAGCATAATTTCATGCACATTGGTATATTAAATACACTCATATTTCAAAGTCAAGAACTATACACTGTACAATTTTTTATTTTTCAAATCTTTTTGTAAAATTTGCATAATTTTTATCTTTACTTTATTAATCTAAAAAAAAAAAAAAAAAAAAAAAGAGAATCCCAGGTATTGAAGTTAAGTTCGGATGACATAGGATATTTTTTATCAGGAGCGAAGGTACTATTCAGAAGATTAGTGATTCATCTTTGATACATTTAATAACTATATCCAACTACTTAAGCAATATGTCGCCAAAATACATTAAGTTAGGAGCACCCGCAGAGCCAGGGTCAACTGCAGACATCAAGGAAAAGGTACATGTCAGATCAGATGCCACAACACATGCATCAGACAGACAAAAGATCTGGAAACAGATACAGGAATTGTTTGATCAATGGCAGACGAGAGGATTGATTCCAGCAGATGACCAACCTGGCCCAACAAAAGCCCATAGAAAAGCTGTAGTTGACTATGAAAATGGAGAATACCTACTTCAGCATGAAAATTGGGAGAAAGCCGGACGAATTTCTTGGCATAAGCCTGGAAAAAGCGCTATTAAAAAAAGCGGAAAACAGGAAAACAACCGTTACAATTCTGATACTCCATCTGAAATATGTCTGCAAAGAATCGACAAACAGCATGTATGTGATTCAAGAAGCAGGTCTGCCAGCAAAAGAAGACACAGCAGAAACAACAGAAGATGTTCCAGTGATCCAAACTGCAAGGCTCTACCCAAGCCTGTCTGAGCCACCTCCTCCTTACGTGACAGGAACAGATCTTTCCTCTCATACCTCAATACAAGCCCCAACATTTCATGTCTCAGAAGGAATATTGAAGTTGGACGACGTCCCTACGGAAAGAAGTATTAAAGAGTTAGATTATGAAGTAAGAATGCTACACAGTAAGTCTGACCACCTCGAACAAAACATGCAAGAGATAAAGGACATGACTAGAGATCAAAGAGAGCAGCAAAGCACATTGCGAACACCCATGTCATTCCAGCCCAGCAACACACCTCTCAGTGCTGAGGCATTATCGCCGGCAGGTTTAGACATGCCGTCTTTCTCTCTACAGCGGCAGGGAGAGACGCACAGGAAAAGTTCATAGATCAACAGGAACACAGACAAGCTGCAGAAGAAAGACGAAAGCAAGAGGAGGCATATAATGACAGGATGGCAGGAAGAACAAGAAAAGAAGAGGATTACCAAGAAAGTCAGGTGCGAAGACGTCAAGAGGATGAAGGATCCCAAGAAATGATGATGGAAGAAAGACAAAACAAACATGAGCAAGACAGAGAAAAGAAAGAAAGAAAACGAGTAACTAAAAAATGGGAAGAAGCTCAAACATCACGCCGAACAAACTACTCTCCTGACAAAGATTATTCCAAAGGACAAGAACAGGACGGCGGCAGTGCACAGTGTGTAACCAGTAGACACTCCCCATACCAAGAACAGTTACACCAACGAAGCAGTATTGTATCTTCCCCAGAGAACAGTAGTAGTGACGAAATCGAGCAACAGCACCCTGACACATGCCCCAAACCTGTAAGAACCAAGACCCGTGTTCATACCTCCATGCCATTGATAGCGGCTGGAAGAGGAGGATTTGACTACCAACCATGGACACACAGGGACATGGAGTCGTTAGTGGCAAAGCTACCGCCACTCACCCAAGGAGGACAGAAGTGGGTAAATGATCTGGAGAAATATACCGTCCAAGACCACCTGTGCCTGGGAGACATAAGGGCACTGCTTGGACGGATAGAAGGAAGACTAGAGGCAAGAGCAGTAGATTCCAAGGCCAAATGCACCAACTCTCCAGATGACATTTCGTTCAACAAAATCAGGTCGAGGTATTGGGCTGCTATTCGTAGCATCTACCCAACAACACGCAGTTTACAAGCCCTCAACAGCCTGAGAAAAGAACCGGGGGAAGACATGCATGCTTTCCTGAAGAGATGTGAAGGACTGTGGGAGGACTGCACTGGAGAACGACATGACGCTTCTCCGGCTGTCATAATGTTGTGGAAGAATGCGGTCATTAACGCCCTTCCTAAATCAGTCCAGGAACGCCTAAGAGACGTGGTGGGACTAGAAGTGAAACTCCCAGAAGAATGGAGACTACATCTCATTCACCATGACACTAAACATCAGGAATTAAAGGAGGAAGATGATGAAGATACAAGAAAACTAGCAAAAAGACTTTTGAAGATGCAAGTAGCTGAGAGAGATAACGAAGCTAATAAAAACAAGAAAGCCACAAGGCAGATGATAGTAGCTACGACAGACATGGCCAAAACAACGGAGAATGCAGTGCAGGCACCTTTACCAGTTCAAATGCAAGTCCAAGACAATTATCAGCAGAACCAACAAAGAGGAGGAGGAGGAGGAGGAGGTTTCCGAGGGGGAAAAGGCAGAGGAAAAAACATCCGGTTTCAAGGATGTTTCTATTGCAGCCAACTGGGCCATTGGGCCAAAGATTGTCCGCTACTACTAACGCAATACCCACCACAAGCACCAGGATTCGATCCTGCACAATTTCAGCAGCCCCAGGCACAACAGTATTATCCCCAAGTACAGCAACAGCAAGCACCTGTGTATACTCCTGTCCAACTACAGCCGCAAGCACCCATGTATCAACAGAGGGGAGGTCCCAGTGGTGGCGGAGGATTTCAAGGACAACCAGGAGGAAGAGGGGTGCCAAACATGAACCAAATGCCTCTGACAGCTTGGAGTGGTCCATACCAATGAGGAGGCCCAGAGGATCCAATCACAGGTGACGTAATTCCAGCCCAAGATGAACCAATGGTCACCTGTGAGATTGAGGGAGAAAAGGTGGAAATGATGGTGGATACAGGAGCCACAGCTTCCTGCTTAACTAGTTTGAAAGGAAAACCACCTCCACTCTCAAAACACACCCTCAAAACAGTTGGATACTCGGGAAAAATTGATGTACAAACATATACATTACCATTGGTCACAAAAATTGGAAAGCAGCTTCTCCAACATCCATTCCTCTATGCACCAAATTGTCCCATAAATCTGATGGGAAGAGACCTCCTAGTAAAATCAGGAGCAAGAATTTTGTGCACCCCAGATGGACTCCTAATCCAATTCCCAGGACAAATACCACTCTACCAAACGTATGCCGGCCAACAAAGAATCATGTTGATGGCAGCAAATCCAGAGAACGATGAAGAAAATGACACAACTACAGTGTACTGGAGCCGCCTGATCACCACTGAAATCGATACTCCACATGTGCAAAGAACCTACATGGCCTGGAAGCCATGGATAAATACACTAGGACCCTATGGGCCCCCACAAGATCCCCTTCATTGTACGTACAATTATCTAAGAAGACCGGACGAAGAATATCAAGACGCTTGGTTGGAAGATAAAGAGGGAATGATGGAAGATTTGACAGTGGCGGACATCTATGTAGGACCGCAGGGTGTAGCAGCAGCTGTAAAACTCTCATCAGAACAAAGACAATGGTACAATTTATCTGAAGAAGCTGTTCCTCATGTCACGCTTGCCATGACCATAGGAGCGGAATCTAGATCATTGGGTCCAATGATAAAGACTGCCTTGAACGCAGACTGGTTGCCAACAGAATCACCTTTCCTGTGGCAATCAACAGACAAAACGATGTGGAGGATTGGAAACAATAGCAAGGAAAAAGGATTATTGGAAAAACAGGAATTGGACAGAGATCATGGAAGAGAACACACAAACCATCCAGACACAGAAGACATGCTGTCACAAGTGCCAACATATCTTTGGACTACTGGAGACTATGATGTTGGTTTAGTAAATCATGAAGTCTCAGTGAAGATGTTGGAAGATTACAGACCATGTTGGCGCCCTCAATACAAATTGAAACAAGAACAGATTGAGGGGATCGGAAATACCATCCAAGGATTGTTGCAAGCTGGAGTAATCAGACACACCTGCTCAGAATGGAATACCCCCATCTTGCCAGTACCAAAAGCTGGGAACAAGGGTTGGAGGATGGTCCATGATCTAAGAGAAATCAATAAAGTCACTAAAACTGCAAATATCCCGGTCCCAGATCCACATGTGGCATTACAAAGTCTTAATCCAGGTCACAAATATTTCACAGTCATAGATCTAGCTAATGCATTCTTTTGCTTGCCATTAGATCCAAATGTCCAGGACATATTTGCTTTCACCTACCAGGGACAGAGATACACTTACAATAGGATGCCACAGGGGTACAAAGATAGTCCGGGATTATTTAATCGGGCGTTAAAACAAGATCTCAGTGCATTACAACTACCAGAAGGAGTGACTCTAATACAGTATGTCGATGATTTGCTCCTAGCCGGACCGGATGCAGCAACATGTCTCGCTGTGACACAGAAATTGCTAATCCTACTGGCCAATGTTGGATACAAGGTGAAGAGAGAGAAGACTCAAATCGCAAGGAGAACGGTTACATTCCTGGGAAGAATGATTTCCTCCAACAGCCTGACTCTGACACCAGCACAAAGATCTTCCATCCTCTCCCAACCGAAGCCTAAAACAGTGCAAGAGATGCTAGCATTTTTGGGCCTAACAGGATATAGCAGGACCTACATACCTGACTATGTGGATTTGACACAACCACTGAGACACATAATTGCAGAAGCAGGAAACAGAAATCTTAAAGCTACTCTCGAGTGGACAACGTTAGCCGAAGAAGCTTTCACGAAGACGAAGCAAGCCCTGAGTCAAGCGGCACACCTCTCCACTCCTGATTATGACAATGATTTTTTCCTTGATGTTTCTGAATCAGGTGGAATAGTCAATGGAGTCCTGTTTCAGAAAAAAGGGGGAGTGAGACAGGTACTGATGTACCATAGCTCAAAGTTGGACAATATAGAACTAGGCCAGACAGGATGTGCAAGACATCTAGCTGCACTAGCAAAAGTCATCGAGAAAACTGCACACGTGGTAATGTGCCACCCATTGAAAGTCAACACAGCACATGGAGTAGTAGCATTTATAAATTCACAGGCATTTACATTTTCTCCAATCAGGAAAATTAAGATTCAGAGTAGCCTGTTGAAACCACACATAACGTACCAAGCAGGGTTAACAAACATGTCTACAGGATTGAGTACAAATGAACACACACCCCATGACTGTGAATTTGTCTCCCGAAATGATCTCAAGATAAGATTTGATTTAGAGATAGACGCTTTGGACAAGCCAGATCTCACTTTATACAGTGATGGCTGTTGTTACAAGGGAGACGACGGAAATGTGGCCTCCTATGCAGTAGTCCAGCAGAAGGGAGACACGATACAGGTCATAAAAGCAGAAATCATCTCCCAGCCTGCTTCGGCCCAACTGGCAGAAGTTGTGGCACTCACCAAAGCTTTGGAGCATGCAGAGGGACAAAGAGTCAATATCTATACAGATTCAGCATATGCCTATGGAGCAGTGCATATAGACGGACCACAGTGGATCAGAAGAGGGTTTCTAACATCTGCTAAAACACCAGTAAAACATGCTGAAGTGCTAAAACTCCTGCTAACATCTGTACTGTTGCCATCACAAGTAGCAGTGATGAAATGCAAAGGACATCAAACATTGGACAATGAAATATCCAGAGGAAATGATGCAGCAGACAAAGCAGCAAAGCAGGCAGGAGGGTACAGCAAGCAAATGATATGTACGAAGGCCAATACTCAAGAAGAGTTAACCACCGAACACATCATAGACATGCAGAAATATGCTGGAGTGTATGAACAGAATCAATGGAGTCAGAAAGGAGCAAAAGAAGTAGATGGTCTATGGAGAGCCCACGATGGCCGTTTAGTTGCACCTGCAAAGTTATGCCACCTGCTAATAGAACAATCACATGGTCCCACTCATGTAGGCAAAGCAAGAACAACAAAAGACATTGAACAACAGTGGTGGCATCCTTACATGAAAGACATGGTTGAAAACTTTGTAAACGACTGTGACACATGCAATGCATTTAATGTAAGAAAGCCATACAAATGCCCAATGGGAAGATATCCAGTCCCAGAAGCCCCATTCAAAGACATTTGTATTGATTACACAGACATGGGAGCAGAGAATGTAGTTAGAGGGTTTAGGTATATGTTGGTAATGATTGATCGTTATACCAGATGGATTGAAGCCATTCCCTGTAAGAAAGAAGATGCAAAGACAGTCATTAAGTGGCTTAAAACAGAACTTATACCCCGCTATGGAGTGCCAAAGATAATAAGGTCAGACAATGGCACACATTTCACAAGCAAACATTTGGAGGAAGTAGAGTTATATTTCGGTATAATTCATAAGTTTGGGTCAGCATACCACCCACAGTCTCAGGGTATTGTAGAAAGAGCAAACCGAACATTAAAAGGGAAAATTGCAAAGGTCACTTTTGGTACAAAAATCAAATGGGTTGATGCTTTGCCTTTGGCACTCATGTCAATGAGATCATCTCAGGGTGCTAAAACACATCTTTCGCCCCATGAGTTGTTGACTGGTAGGCCAATGCCAGGTCCTCCTAGAGAAGGAGGGAGTGGCCCAGCTTTAGATATCAGACAAATAGAAGTTGATGAATATGTCAGGGCTCTGAGTAACATTATCCAAGTTTTGTCTACACAGGTTCAAAGAACTGCAGAGAAACCAGACGAAGCACCAGAAGAGACTCCTCTAAAGCCGGGTGATTGGGTGAGGTTGAAAGTTCACAAAAGAAAGTGGGCTGAACCCAGGTGGACTGGACCGTGGGAAGTTGTTGAAAGAACTTCACACGCGCTCCGGATAAAAGGTAAAAAAGGAGCAAATTGGCACCACCTGACACATTGTCGCCCTGCACTGGCACCTTCCAGAAAGCTCTCGGAAGTTAGGACTGATTTGGCAGAGCTGGAACAAAACGATAAATAAAAATCAGATCAAGAGACATTCAGATAGAAACAGCTCAAAAGACCAATTGTCTTTAGATTATAGATTGATCACTAAAGCAGAATAACTATTTCTGTTTTTTCATCTGAAACCTATTTTTGTTGTGCACAAAAAAGAGTCCAAGATTTTGTTTTTATTTCTGTGTAGTCCAAGATTTTGTTTTTATTTCTGTGTAGTCCAAGATTTTGTTTTTATTTCTGTGTAGTCCAAGATTTTGTTTTTATTTTGGTGTCTGTTATTTTTAAACTCATCATTATAGAACTCTGTAACTGATATAACCATGGATAAAATTGATGAAATGCCATTGAAAAAGTCAGAGCAATTGAGGGGCCCCCTAGGGATAAGAATTGTGATATCATTGTTAGTTTTATTCATTACCATTGGCATCTTTCTGATCGGGTGGGGAGTACAGCATCGTGAAAAACCCGAATCCATTTGTGAACTCATAGAAAGTGCCAATAACACTAACAAAACTCAAGCTGTGATCCAGAAACTTCCATTTACCCCCAGAGCCAAAAGATCCGCTGAGCCGAAAAAAGAGATGTTAGAAATACTCATTCCAAGAGGTAAAGCAGTTACGGTCAGTCTTGATGTCTGTGATGTGGTTGTTTGTGGAGATTTGCATGACAAAACAGGCCATGACGTTTATGGGTGCATCCATGCTTGGGGACGGCCAGATGATAATTCATGGTGTCCCAGTTCAGAGAAGGTATATTGGAGTGCTAGGGCTCAAGGAAATAACAATCCCCCTGGTTTGGCGTTTAGGTCTCAGCTATCTTTTTCCAAAGGTCGCCATAGTGGAGATATGAGCAAACATAATCCAATAATAATTGCTTTTAAAAGTGAACTCACTCCCGTCTTTAAGAAAAAGGGAGATGTCACTGCATTTCATTTACTGATAGGGATAGAAGTTCCTTGAAAAGACCCAATGGGATCAATTTTAGTGAAAATAATTGAACCCCAAGCTGATGTAATCCCTGATCTCGCCCCACACACTGAATCCTTTCTCCAGCCAAAACCAGAAGTACCCCCTGCGAAATCCGAGAACAATCCACTGGTCACCTATCTGAGTACGACTTCTATACAGAAAGCCATGGCAGTGGAAACGGGATACGAGGACAAAAATTCCTGGTTAGACTGGGTTGTGTATTCTGTTAAGCAGAGCAATATGGCGGACTGTCTGGCCTGTGCGGCTGCTCGACCAAGTTTGGGAACAGTACCATTTCCATTTAACGCCCACAATAACCCACGAGGACAGATCTGTATGTACAAACTCTATGGACAAAAATCCCCAGCAGATTGTGTTGACATTTCTCAAAAGTATCCAGTGGTAAACAATAATGACATTCCACCTGCCTTCACGTCTTACGAGGGACTTTATGACTGCATCACAAGGAACTACCTAAAAGGTACTGAAGTAGGAACTCTTAAGTGGTGCAATTCTACAAAGGTTGTAATGAACCAGGAGTTTCTCCCAGGCATAGCTATGCCCATTACCCAGTTTCCCAGAGCAGATGTGTGGTGGTATTGCGGCACTAAAACCTTGTACCCAGTTTTACCACGGGATTGGACGGGGACCTGTGCTATGGTACAGCTAGTGATGCCTTTTTATGCAGTACCAATGACGGCCGAGCAACTGATAAGAATGGCACTCCAACCCAAAGCAACCAGGGCCAAAAGGTCAGCCCCTAGAGGGAGTTTTGATTCCACTGTGTACATGGACAGCATAGGGGTGCCTAGGGGAGTACCAGACGAGTTTAAAGCTAGAAACCAGATCTTCGCAGGATTGGAATCCATTTTCCTTTGGCCCACAGTAAATAAGAATGTTGACTGGATTAACTATATCTACTACAATCAGCAGAGGTTCATAAATCACTCCTTAGATGCGTTTAGGGGACTACATGAACAACTGGACAAGACCAGCATCATGTCTTTACAGAACAGAATGGCTCTATACACAACCTTCTGGCAGAAAAAGGGGGTGTGTGCGAAATTTTCGGAACATTATGTTGTACCTTCATCCCAAATAATACAGCACCTGACGGATCAGTAACAAAGGCACTAAAGGGACTCGCTGTTTTGAGTAGGGAGATGGCAGACAATAGTGGGATAGGACAAAACCCTTTAGGAGATTTCTTTGATGGTCTGCTGGGAAAATACAAGAATCTAGTACTGAGTGGACTGATGTCTATCTCAGGTGTGGTCGTGATATTGGTACTGTGTTGTTGTTGTTGCTCAACATGCATCCGCACTTTTGCAAACCGACTGGTTAATGGGGCCCTCAACCAGGAATACACTAGGGGTCAATATCTCATGAGGGGACCGTTTCAAATACTAGCAGAACAAGACAACCCACCCCCGTACACAGATATAGATGAAAATGATGAGTTTGTTTGAATGATGTTAAATGATAGGGATGTTCAGAGATGAAATTGTTCAATGAATGTCCAGCGAATGTCCAGCTAAGCTGATCCTTTAAATGATGAAATCTTGTAAAAAAGTGAACCAGTTGCAATACTAAAATGGAGTGAATCCATTTCAATTTACTGTACACTATTCCAAGAATAGTTTATTTTTTATTTACTTTATACCATTCCTACACCAAGTTTTGTGTTTTTTCTTTTTCTTACCACACTATTCTAAAATAGTTTCTTTTTTATGTTTTATACTGTTATTATTGATGCGATTCTCAAATGATATGTTTTTATACTTTGTATAACAAGTGCCTTAACAACTGAATGTGGTATGGGAACGGTTTCTGTGAAAGGAGGGAGTAAGAAATGTTCCAATACCACAAGTTGCTGCTATATTGAATGATTAAAACTAGAAGTTATGCACAAGGAAAAACTTTTATGTTTGAAGAGTATAATGAGTTATTGATATTCCACCGGTTTTCACACCATCTAAGGAACTTTATCACTGCATTAGAACAGACCACAGGTAATGAAGTAGGAACCATAAGTGATGAAATTCTCCAATTGTTGTAACTGACCAAAATCTTCTCCCAGAAATGACTGTCTGAAATGCCGTATCCCAGCGTAGATGTTTGATGGTAAGGATAGCATAGGGGGGCCCAGGGGAGTGCTAGATGTTAGTTGCATTCCATGTACCCGCACCCTAACGTACCGATTGATCACCACGGCCTTTTCTAGAGAACATATTACTTTCATACTTTAAAAAGTATGAAAGGGGGGAGGGTACATTTCTCATAAGGGAACAGTTTCAATTGCTAGCAGAACAAGACGACTCAACCCATATACAGATATTGATGAAAATGAAGACAGTGTGTAAATGATGTTAAATGATATGGATGATAAATGATGAGATTGTTCAAAGAATGTCCAAATCATGTGATATTTCAAATGATGAAATCATTAGAATGAAGAACCAGCTACAAAGTGGTATTATTTTCCACTATTCTAAAATAGTTTCTTTTTTTATGTTTTATACTGTTACCAGTGATGCGATTTTAAATTGTATGTTTTTTATGCTTTGTATAACAAGTGCTTTAACAACTGAATGTGGTATGGGAACGGTTTCTGTGAAAGGGAGTAAGAAATGTTCCAATACCACAAGTTGCTGCTATATTGAATGATTAAAACTAGAAGTTATGCACAAGGGAAAACTTTTATGTTTGAAGACCAGCCAAAGTATTTTTTGTATTTGTTGTATTTTTGATGATGGTTATTTAAACCATTACATTTATGATTGTATGTTTTTTGATATGAGATATGTACTATGCACAGTTCAGATGAAGAACTCATTACTTTCAGTATTGTGTTCACACCTTAAAAGGTGTGAAAGGAGGGATTGTTAGAAATTAAAATTCAATGTTTTATGGCATGATTTAGTCTAAAACATACCGTCAGTTTAAAAGCAGTCAGATGAAGAACTTATTACTTTTAGTATTGTGTTCACACCTTAAATGGTGTGAAAGGAGGGATTGTTAGAAATTAAAATCAATGTTAAACAGCATAATTCAGTCTAAAACATATCGTCAGTTTAAAGCTGTTTTATTGTGGAAAAGCCCGGAAGTTCTCAGGAAATCAATGCCAAGCTTTTATTCTGAAAAATCCTTTATCCGGTTAGCTTGTGACTAATGTTGCGTTTTCTGAATGTAAAGTGAAAATGACTTGGAGTGTTACACACCAAATCGTACGGACTTTAACACTACATCAATAGACGTTAAGATATTATTACTGCTGAATATTAAATGGTCTAGTTCAGGGGTCTCCAACCTTTCTTCATCTGAGAGCTACTTTCAAAAAATGAAAGTGGCCAAGAGCTACTTGCATCACATCGCTTACATTTATTCACATAGCCCTCATCAGTTGAATTAAGCTATACTTTTGTACACGTGTGAAATTGCAATACCTAAAGCTTATCAAAAATCTTAACTTCACATCAAGGTCCAAGAAAACGAAGATTTCTCACATATTATTATGGCCCACGTATACGTACATCACTTAACATTCACATAAGTGTCCTTAATCACCACCTTACAAGCATTTCACTCTTTTGTTAGTGAGATGAATGGCACTGGCAGTCCACCATACAGGTGTATGCTGGAGTGTACCCATTAGGTTCACTCTAATAGAGTCATTTAAATGTTCTTCAGTCAGTCTTGTTCTGTATTTAGATTTCATTCATGTCAGAAAAAGCTGCTTCACAAAGGTATGTAGAACAGAACCAAATAAAGCAGACATTTTCAGTGCTGCTTGGTGAATGTTCTATAGTTTTCGGGGTCTACAAGGCTCCAGAAATGTTGTGAGTTTTGCTGAGACTTAAGCTGAACATTATTTTGGAGATCTCCACAGGATTGACACTGAACAGTTGTTCAGCCATCTTTTTCTTCTTCTTCTTCGTCTTGACATTAAATTATAGACCATAATAAATCAATTGTATAGGTCTAGCCTCCCTATATCTGTGTGTGAAAATGGTTCCATCCTCAAAAACAAAAGACTAATGCTTCTGCAGTCTAGCTGCAGCTTCTAGCTACGGTCTTCTGTTAAAAAAAAGACCCTGAATGTGGCATCACACACATGACTTAAGTCTGAACACAGCAGACAACAGGAGTATTTACAACAGCATTATAAAAACAAAAATAGTGCATGTGGGTGCACACTTACATTCTCTGTCTTACTGTTAC